ATCATCAGAAACAATAACTCAAAATAATACAAACACAAATAGCTGAAATAAAATTGAATACCGTATGTCCAATGGCTAATGGTTGATTTCTACCCTATTTGATGGACGTGGCAAATAGTGCACATGTTTAACGGATTAGAAATCATCAGAGTAATGACAAATATAGTTGCACACTAATACTACAGGGTAAAAATAATTGATGACGACAATTTTAAGATGATGCACGTATGGCTAAAGCACGACGCGAATGACAACAGCGGTGAAAGAGCGCGCGCACTAGAGGTACGTTGTTGTTAAAAAATGGTATCGGCAATGTTATTGTAAAACGTAGAATAAAAAAAAGGTACGTTCTTTTTTAAAACGATATGGAGGGTTGTTTTTGAGAGAGTAGTTTCGAAAATGAATCTATAAATTTGGGGGTTGGCAAAGTAGCGAATTAATCTAACTCATACGATGGAATACTGCATACATAAACAAATATTTAATAACCTTAATTAAGTTAAGAAACTAACAATGCATATAAATAAATATAAATATAAGCTAATGACATTGTTGTTAAAACATTTACATTTGACAATAAAAACAAACAAGCTACATAGTTATTTAGTGAACTGTATTGTTTGATTTTATTCTTATCCGTTTTGAGAGAAAGATTAGTACACGAAGAATACCGTTTGGAGGATGACATAGGCAGTACGATTCCAGTGATATGATTCGTAATAAATTTAGAATACTATCTATGTAACACGATTAATATAATCAACGATCGAAGAACGTGCAATAATCGAGCAGTACGTAATTAAAGGCGATCGTAATACGTGTTGTCGTCATGGCGTTTTGGAAGAAATGAAAATATTTATTATTATCATCTCACATGTTTGTGTGCAATTATTGTAGATTTATATTATATTTTTATTTGACAAAACACGCAGTATTTTGTTTTTTCAAAGAAAAATCACACATTTTATTTGCAATGTTGGGACTAATCTAGATAGATTTTTATTATCTTTTATCTTATCTATATAAATAACGCTAAGTTATCTAATTATTTATCTATGATACAATTTTTACTTATCTAGATAATTTTTTCTAGATTATTGTCTGTATTCTTGCCAAGATTAGATTTATTTTTATTCTTGTGTGGAGACGAATCTAACAAATCAGAGATCATCAAAATTCGCATAGCCGTTCTTGAATTATAAATTCTGTAACTAACCTGACTTTTCTTATACATATTGATTTTGTATTCATAATTATAATTTGTGCATTATAAATATGCAATTATTATTTTTTGCTTTGACATTTTCTTTGTATTTTCATGGCGGGAAGATAAATTTGGTATTTTTAAACCTAATTTCTTATTTTTCCATGGAAGTTCTTAATATAGTATGTATTGGATTTTAGTAAACATATGTAACTCATACGCTGAATAGTCATTAATTCACTCTCGGAACCCGTAAGGTCGTAACTACTTAAAGAATATTAAAAATCATAAAATTAATATTATATGGAAAACAATATTGTTAACTAAAAATAATTTTCTATGTATTTTGTATTCATCCTGATACGTACAGAGGAATTTTAATTTTTTTTTTTTTTTTGTGTAACACTTTAGTGATTAACTATTATTAAATATTGTACATTATATTTAAATACTGCTAAATGGTACACTACATTACTACAATAAACATTAAACATCTAGGTACCTATTGATAATAATGATTATAATTGAGTCTTCATAGATATTAGATTATAAAATATTGACCAAAAAATAACATTTTTTGAAAATATGTTTTTTTTTTATCCAGATAAAATGAAATTATCTTTTATCTTTATCTAGATAAATTTTACATTATCTATTCCCAACACTGTTTATATGTCTACGATCGTATCTATTAAATTGCAAGTATATCTAAAAAAATAGAAAGATTAAGAAATAATATCCTAATTCATAAAACAAGTAATTATTTGTATTGAAAAAACTTAGGAGAAAAACGAAAATGGTTTTATTCTCAACGAGGAGTACTATCTCTTTCAATTTTCGAGTTGAATTGAATCTCTTGTATGATGACATTTGTGTACCCTTACTAACCAAAAAAATTTTAGTATCATTTGTAAAATTAATACGTTTTTGTCTCATATATTCGAATTCAATTTTGAACGACATACGTTATACCATAAAAGTATTTACCGAACCAAATACATAAAATATATTAAAACGAGAGCTTCAGATATAATTATAATAAAGTGACCAACTCGATACAAACATTTGTTATTGGTTGCCAATTAAAAAACAGGATGGATGTCAATAAGCATCCAAATAATGTTTTCCATAAATCAATATATTTACCATATGAAGCATATATATTGGTCATTTGTTTTATAGACAAATGAAAAATTTAATGTTTCTGTCTTATTATATTCAATCCATAAAAATAAGAAAAATTAAAATGTTCTTTTTAAATTTATACTTTATATTATATAGCGTAATATAACTACGAAGATTACTAATCAATTATAAGCCTTCAATAATTATTTCTATATTCATTCAAACAAATCTAAAATTAAATCCTAAAGATGTACATAATTAAATAATGGGAAAATGGGTGAAACTATAAAGTATATTAACCTAGACTAAAATTTTCATCGTATACATAAAAAAAAAAAAAAACCGCAGGGATTGTTTGGAAGAGAAATGGCTATTATTACATTGGTTGGCCACTCTCATCTTTAAAAAAGCTTTCTACTGGTGACTTACAATATTACAACACTTAATAATCTACTTCACACTCGGCTAGGTTAGTTTTTCCGTCAATATACTTCATTTTTACCGTTGAATTTGCGCTATGTTATATTAACGTTATTATAACCACGTGGCGAACAAACAAAAATTGGTAACAGAATTGCGTATACAATAATACAGCTATTGGGGTATATTTGATACTTACTAGAAATAGGGTAGTTGAGTTTAATATAATTTCCTTCCCATAGAATTGCCTTTCGTTTTGAATTTCTTGCGCTCACGTTTACCCTGTACCCATCCCTCAGGAACATACATAGGCGGACGATCGCACGAAACTCAAAACTGCAGTATTGTTATAAGAACGGGGGACGAAAAAATACAATTGAAATTGCAAAACACACATGGAATTAAAAATCGGTGTGTGTAATGTGTACATCGTGGAAAATGGATCGATTTTTTTTTTTTTTTTGGCACTTCTCCGAAGAGGAAACATAGGAACCAAGAGTTTGGCATACAATCTTAAAGTATTTGTTTTAACTCTACGCGTGTACACCGATAAACATTATAATAGTTTATGAATTCAAACCATCATCAACAGCAGTACACAGAGTAATCTAATAGAAATCGTCTCAATTTGTGACCACGAAACTAAATTAAACATGATATGGATAGAGGAGTCTAAATGCTACATATTAATTCTCTAGAAGTGTGCTTTTCACTGTTCATTTGTACATAGTCCGATATGTGTGGAAATCAATAGAACTCTTGGCGTCTGTATACCATGTAATACGTTTGGTTGAAAAATATCAATATAAAAATGAAAGTTAAACATTTTTGCTTGCAACCCGTAATTAGATGAGATAAATTTATTTTCTTAAAAAAAAAAAAAAAACACCATATGTTCGGCATGGAAACAAATAAGCATTTACGTATTTCGTAGTAATAATTTTTTCTCCCCACCCTTAGCAAAAAAATTAGTACGTACAAATATCGAAATACACGTATTTGTAATGCAGCGTAATGGGATGAAACGTACACAACAATTCCTTAGAATTCCGTAGCCAATAATTTATCGCAAGATGGCCCCTCCGTTCCTCACTCTGACTGCGGTTTTCAGAATTTTCTTTAGTGCTGTGACGGTAGAAATGGCGGTGAGCTGCGGTAATGGAGTTTCCATAGTTCCCACCACTTATAAAAAATAAATAAATAAATAAATAAAGAAATCGGAGAAACTTCCGAGAACACAGGAAGTAGGTAGATTTACCAGATACTTGGTACCTTTGAAATATGAACTCCACGTAGCCGTAGTTTTGATCAGATAAAGAAACGAGGGAAGAATACCACGTTATAAGAATAATATAATGAGGGATTCAAGAACTGTAGCGTGACATACAACATCATTTTCCGCGTCCTTGGGATGAGAATCGATTGAGATTTGATTGCGAACAACACTACAGACGATACCAACGTGCGTCTTTAATTTATATACTATTACATACGATACACTTAATCTTAAAGAAATCCTAGAATGTTTGATGAAATAATTTTCAAATGATTTTATGAACAATACTATTTATGATGTCTAAAATATACTCGTATAATACTACTTAAAACCCAGTGTAGCTTAAATAACACAAATTTATAAAAATAAAATGATGCAACGTACACGAACAAAAATTATTGTATGAAAATAATATGATCCTTAGTTAATTATTATTTAACAATTTAAACGAATACCATTGAGAATATTTGTAATTCAAGCAAGCCCCATAGGTCTCTTACGAGTTCTTCTCATCGAGGTTCATTAATCTTTCGATATCGAATTAAATGAGATTCCATTTAGTTAGGAAGACGAGGTAGCAAGAATCTATACGATAACACATTTTATAATATTACACCTTGAGGGTTTTGTTAGAACAATCTACTCATTACTCAAATTATACTCATACCATGTAATTATTTAATATTTAGAAAGTAGAAAACATCTCACAGCTTATTATGTCACTACATCGACGTATCGGTATATTTCGGTAAAACATCGAATTTTTTATTCGTTCCGATATGATAGATATTTAAATACATAATGTAATAATATGAACATGGGAACACTGGTGTAATGTAACGAGATTGGAAACAACTGTGCAAGTATAGTTTCTACGTCAAACGAAAATATTTCAATTACTTAGTGCGACGACAACTGTTGCGAACAGAATATATTCGGCGTAGTCGTATATTGTTCGCGCGAGTTTCAACGTACCTTCTGCTACCGAGCAAATCGATCACACCTGCAAAACAAAAAAAAATATTATAAATCATTAGAATTTCGACATTTTCATTTAATGGAAATTAATTTCCCCCTCTTCTCTCCTTAACAATTATGAAGCAATCGGCTACATTAGATAATAGAAACTATCACGTCTAGTTAGTAGTCCGTACATATATTTCTGTATTAGTACAACTAGTAAGCGACTGTATACAGTATTAAGTGCTTCTTTCGTTTCAACGCATGCACAATCATAACGCACAAATTAGAATTCAGAATTTATTCAATTGACGCAATAGTTATTGCCCTATACAGTTATCGATTCACACGTTCACATCTATTACATTTTTTCATTATCCTGTATTCTTTGTAATATAACCGAACTTGATTAGAACGTACTCGAAAAATTATTTTTGATAAATATTTTGATAAATATTTACAAAATAATATTATTTGATTTATAGTAATCACTGACCAAAGGGTTAGTTATAAATACTATTTTTTTAATTATTACCGTGTAGTTTGCAAAGTTATAAATGATAATGTTTTTCGTATTGTAAAATATTTTTTACAAATTTAACCTATTTTTACTTCTAAATCGCTATTCAATATATTATACGTAATACAACCAAAGTTGGACGAAATCTAACGATGTCTACTTGCTCGTTATTGTACATTTGTACGGTACCGGACAAATAATTGAACTTGTGTCTTGTATTAATTACAATATACCCGTTCGCAGTTTACCGAAGTTTCGTGGCAGCATACGCTGTGTCACGTGGAGTGACAGAGAAGTGTACTTAAACTTTGGAATTTCTCCAACGCCAGTTCACCACCGAAGTTACATATCACTTTTATCATATGTACGTGTTCAATCACGTCTGGCAGCAGCCAAGTACAATACATCGCATTCGTGTGCAAACTTCACGTCCGGCGATAAATAACAATCAAACATCGCCACCGTCAAAGTTTTCTACCTTTCTACCATAACAAAATAATAATATTCCTATGTACACGGTATCGTCCCAAAAGAATTGCTGCGATTTTCCGATGGTCTAGCCGCAAGTCATTCGAGTATATTATAATGCAAAAACGTAGACCTTATTATATTAGTATTTTACAGTTTTTTATTTTTTTTATTTTACGCGTCCCCTGTAGATTTTCAAAAATATTAAAATATTAAAAAGTATACATCATATTATTCGGTACTGTTTGGTTTTCTTCTTCGAAATAACATCTTATGTTTCGTGTAGCCATGTGAACTGGATAAGTTTCCCTTCTGGTAATTCAGCTGTGCTCACGTATACCACCGTTTTATTCTTTACCTATAACGGATAAATCTTCATGTCACCAGCGTAAACTTATATAAAACTCGCAAGAACTATAGGATTTCAAACCCTTAATTACCATTGAGAGTAGGCTGATAATTTTTTTTTTTTTTTTTAACCAATATTTTTCTGACTTATGCAACCAATACAAAACCGATAACTAATGAATTAAAAACCTAATTTTTTAGACTAAAATCACGAATCCACACTAAAATAAAAATTCATACCACAAACTGATATCTGATAAATCTGATATAATTTGTTTTAATCGGAAAATAAACTTTAACAATAATAAACAATGTGTAATATCTATATTTGTTTATGCTATTGATAATAATATATTATAATGGTAGTCAATTTTTTTTCGGAATATCGGTTCAACTATTTTGACAAAAAAAAAAAAAAAAAAAAAACACAAAATCACTCATCAAACCGATACCACCAATATCGGTCGATATTAAGTATCCGTTCAAATATCAGCCCAACCTTAATAATCAACTTATTATGAACGGTTATATTTTATCATCGGACAGAGATCGCGTCGATCGGAGAAATTGAATCGTTTCTCCATCGCGTCGTCGTTACGATGGTACGTAATTACATTTTTCGTTTTCACTGAAGACCTGTCCATGCGTACAACTGCAGCCGGATGACGAGTCCGCGGATATGTCAGAATCAATTGCTTTAATGGTGCGTACTCAGCTATATATATATATATATACATATATACACTAAATTAAACCAACGGATTTAATTATTAGTTTCAAATGCGTTAATAGACACGTGTCTAGTGACCATCATCCCAGGAGTTATTGAATTTACTATCACGTTTCGTTGCGTGTACGTGCATTGCAGGTTGAAACACAACAAACCGGTAGTATTGTGACGAATACAATTTTAAATTTAAACAAATTGACCAACAATCGATTTTTAAATTATGTCTAGATGCAATATTATTATATTCTTTAAAATCAATGAAATAAACAGTTTTGTGTTAATGACCGAATTCTTAATGTACTGTTTTTCGGCTATTTTTATGTTCTTTTGATTAAATTAGTTAAGAAAAATGGTATTTTATCCCATTTCTAAATTCTGTAATTGTTCATTTTCATCAAAATCTTGCCTAGTAGATAGACAGCTAAATAAATAAATAAACTAACCTAACATAAGCTAACTCTAACCTAACACAAGTTTTTCTGCGAATAATAAAAAACAAATTATAACATAATACAATAAAAAATTATTGAATAAAATGAAATTTATACAATAATCATAAGTAATTTATTTCATATCAAACATAGTTTGTTCTGTATAAATACCTTATATTTAATTAAGTTATAAATTAAAATTTATTTTGAGGACTTGAATTCTCATTGTATGTATTGTTTTTAATAAAAATTTAATATAACTCACGCAACATCGCACGAGATATAAAGTGATAGTGTACAGGTATTATATATGTATATAATATAAATATTATAATAATATTTTTAGTTTAGATAAATTTGACTGTTTCAGAAAAGGTGTAAATTACTCAAAACTCGGGAGGACTTTAGAAGTGCAAGTATTATACTTATTTTTGCATTTTGTTTTATAGCTCCCTCTACAATCAATCTTGACAATATACAAATGAATCGATGATTGCAGAAACGACGTGAGTAAATTTTTTAAAACTTTTTAATAATTGATAAAAAAGTGTATAATTTAAATAATTCTAAAAAAATTCTTATTTAAAAATGAATACTTATAGAAATATATTATACGCTGTTTATACATAATTTTTGTATATAAATAATATGATGTTTTTTTATTATTAACTTTCAAAGTTTTCTGCCTCATGACGTTTTTCCATTCAATATAAATATAGCAAACAAAAAATTATTTAAGGAATAGAAAATTACTTTATTTTAGATTATAAGTTCACATTATCACAATATTAAATTAATAAATTATTAATACATAAAAAATAATTTTACTATATTTTTATATTTTTACTTAAGTTCTGAATTTATTTTTCAATTTTTCGCCAGTACAAAACTTCATTCAAAAACGAATTATTTATTTTAGGAGGAGCTATATAAGATGCTGATTTTTTTATATCCATCATTTATTATCAGTTATTTGAATTTATTGGTAAAATATCTTTATGATTTTCTATTGGTAGATCAATTTGGTTTATTCTGGGTAGTGTTAACTAGAAAGTATGTTTATTGGTGCTCTTAATAATTTCACTAATTGTTACCATTCCCCTCTTATAAATGTAGTGATGAAAAATTGATATATTGAACGATACTTTTTTGTCACGTGGAACTGATCTTTTTGAAGATTCTATCGAAGTCTGCAAGTTTTCTTATAATATTTATTCCACCATGATTTAAAATCAAAAATGTCTAGATGTGTTATAAGTTGGACTTTGAACTTGTTTTTATTACTAGACTGAATTATTAACTTGAGATATTCGTTTAGTGTATAAATTCTATCAATTTTTCTTTAAGTACGTTGTATCACACCAAAATCTCTATCACAATCTAAGAAAGAATGCCCTCGTACAGGAAAATAATATTCTACTACTTCGAACCAACTTGTATTAACTAAAGCTTGAAAAAATCGCACAACAGTATTATTTTTTTTGTCCAGGATAATTGTCAGAATTTTGTTGGATAAATCTTTACATTTACAGCATGTGTTGACTTGTGGTCTACCAAAAGATAAATTGAAATTCTCTCTGAAGTATTTGTTGTAATATTCATATTTAATATTCGAAGTAGAGTATTTGGTTAAAAAACATTCTTACAATTTTTTAAAGTTAAGTCACTACGTAAATAATTAAATTCTTCTCCTGAATAATGACTTTTCATTACAGGAAAACTAGATATATGATCTTAGATAAGTTAAAACTCAGAAGGTTGGATAGCATTGTTACTTTTTGATTTTTCCTCTTTTATCATTATACACTTAAACAAGATTTTCTCTAATAGTTCTTACACGTTTTTCCGTTACATCATATATTTTATAAAACGCACTTTTGCACACTTTTTTCCCGATCAGATCCCAATAAACAATAATACTTAATATTGTGTTCTAATAGAATTGCATTTTCATTGTGAGGTCTATGAGTTTTACAATGTTCTTTTATTATTAACACTTAAAGAAATAAATTTTGTTAATTTTGACAAGGAATTTTATTAAAATGTCCAAGTACAAATTTCTTATCGATTTCACTTAAATTACATTTCATTAAATAGTTGCATGGTTTTTCAACTATTTTCTTGACAGGGATTATTTTATTTTTATAATTGATAAGCTCCCTCCCTTCAATTTTAGCAGTTTTAATAACATTTCTTGAATATGATGATTTATTTCTAATACCTGTTTTACGAATCGGTGTACTATTCTCCATAGTTAAATGATTACGAATTCACTAAAAAATAATGTACTGGAAGTATCACTATAGAACAAACTAACTAAACTGAACATTGAAATATCTACCTATGAAATAAGAAATAATTTCTTTGTATTCTTAATTGCCCAGATAACAATATATTGTTATCTGAATTTGATAGTTTATTAAATATTTAGGTCCTATTTAATCTTAAAATTACTGATTTAAAAATAGACACGTGTAAGTGTTTATTTATTGTTGTGTGTAAAAACGACACAAGTCATTGACTAAAGACGTTTTTGCTCTCAAACATATCTTTTAATAGTAATCTTATAGATAAAAACATTATGACTGAAGCCGTTTCTCCACTTAACACATAAAAACATATGACTTGCATGTGTATTTGCTAATATCTAAATTTCATAAAAAATGTGACTCGTGTCATTTTTGCAATCATCTATTCAAATATTTAAGTAACAATTTATTATTATATTTACTATAATCTAGCTAGAGTTCTGATAGGTAATAGTAACTCTGTTTCAAATTAAAAAAAAAAAAAAATCTTAGAATGAAAACGAACAGTATGAGCATGAAATATTTTTAAGAGAATTGATGAGTAAGCAAAACCATAAAAAAAGTAATTATAAATTGTATAAATTAATATTTTTCTAAAGAACTGTAATTTATACTTTTTTACTATTAGTTTAAACTCTCTAATATTAATATCCACGAAAAGTAAGAAAAATTATAATGCCAAGTGGTTTTATATGACACACTATGTAAATAAAATGTATATACATCTGAAATAATTGTAATAATTGTTTTCCATAAAACTCTGAAGAGTTGTAAACTATATTAAAAAAGAAAAAAAACCATCCTTAATCGTTATTAACAGTCGGACGCTGTAGAATCGTAATATAAATGAAAACTTTTTTAATATTCTCACTGAAATAAATCATCAGATAGTACTCTAAAGAGACATAAAAAAGCGTATTCGATTACCGCTTTAGGGAGTTTAAATGTCAAACCTCAGTTATTACTCACGCCATTCATGGTACGAGTACTCCTGTTCACAAAATTGGTCATTAATTCTATGCTTTCCGCTATGACTATATAATAATTAAAATAATATCATGTGGATGATACTACTAAGTCCAATGTTGAAGAAAAAAGATGAAAAAAAAAACTTTTACAAATTCTGACAGATATTTATGTGATATAATTTTTTCGGTATCATAACATTTAATATATCAATATTACTATTGATAGCGGGTTTTTTACATAAATAAATCAATCATTCCCATACACACATATAAATATTCTCGATACACCTATCACAAAATGGTTAGATAAGGATTTATGTTGGTTCATTTATCTGTTTTTAGTCATGACACTGTTGATAACATTCGAATTTTCGATGAAAAATTAGTGTACACATATATTTTTGCATTTCATAATAATAATATATTTTGCGTTCGACGTTAACGCAAACGGGGAAAATATAATACGATTTTAAATTAACGTCTCGTCCCGTCTTTCTCGCTAGTACAATAATAAATTCAACAACAAATTTCATGAGCGATTAATATAAAATATACAACACAACAAATAAAATATTTAATTACTTTTTTGAGATGACGATATAGTTTATTATAATAGCAGTTTAACCTAATTTTAAATTTTTTTAATAATTCTATCTTCTATTGATATTTTTTAAACGTCAATAATAAACGACTTATTACTTATTTATTTATTGAAAATTGAACAGGCTGAATGAGATTAATTAACGTTCAATTGATAACAATATAAATTGTAACAGCATTCAAAAACATCTTATTTAATAGATATATATTTATGTTATGAGGAACGAGAAATGTACACTTTGCCCGGGCAATTTGAAGCTCGAATAGAAATTAATAACTGCTATAATTATAATAACAACTACCTATCCAATATTTTAATAATAATTTACTATAATTTAACTACGATTATAAAACAAAACAAAGTATAAAATATCAATAAATTATTTCTTACTCATTTATATTACATTTACTATTTATATTTTTCTTTCTTATAACTACTGTTTTCCCACATAGCTATATTAGATTGACAAAATTAATAACTATGTCGATAAAATCAGACAAGAATATATGAACAATAATACATTTTTACGATTAACCAGTCAAGTTTTCGTGATTTTTAAGACACTATATTTATATACGTATAAATTTCCATATTCAATGATACAACTGCGACGTGTATTATTTAAAAAAATGGAATTTAAATTTTATGAAAATTAATTAAAGTGAAAAAAAATGAACAATACTTTTCTTAATAAAATATAACATTATGAAATAATTAGTAATTTAAAACTAATAAAGCAAGAGAAATAAAACAAATATAAACTATTAAAGAAATATGGCGTAATGACAGCACAAGTCGATGAAAAATTAACTATGCCATTAACTGCAGAGGGTAATTTTGTAAAATATTATGCTTATAATAAACATTTTTTTTAAATCTTACACGAAACACATTTATCTAAATCGGTAGTATAAATCGTATGGTAAATGAGATAAATAAAAAGTATAAAATATTACGAAAAAGACAATAATGTCATATTTAAATATTTATGAGTAATGTCAGAAAAAGTAAAAACGGTGAAAAAAGGAATGGTGGTTAAACCAATTATTTCTTCAGAAATTAATTCGAGGTACCAAATTGACCTTTCATATCAAGCGCAACCAGATGAAGATTACAAATTTATATGTCTATAACAAGTTCATTTGACAAATTTTGTAATACTTAGACCTTTAAGACATAAAGTGCCAAAGCATATGTTAATGTACTATTACATACATTTACCCTTTTTTTGGGGCACCCGCTATTTTCCAAAGTGACAATGGACGTGAATTCGTAAATAAAATAATCTCTAAGCTTTGCACTATGTAAAAAGATTTGAAAATAATTCACGGTAAGCTGAGGCATTCTTAAAGCTAAGGTTAAGTTGAAAGAACAAACTAAGATGTCGAAAATATACTTACAACATGGCTTCAAGACAATAAAACAAAAAAATGGAATGATGGCTTGAGATTTGTCCAGTTAATGAAAAATCGTGCTTATCACCATGTAAAAATATTCATCGTATGAAGCGATGTTTGGTACACTCCCTAAAATTGGTTTAACATCTACAATACTTCCTGTAAACATAATTGAAAAATGAACAACCAAAGAAGAAGTACAAGCTGCATTAAAGTTAATACAAATTATTTCTAACAACAATGAAAATAATAAAATATTTCAAGAAATAGAAAAAAATATGTTCAATTAATTGAAAAAACAAAAACAAGACAAATAAGCCAAAACTGATACGAATCGTTAAACAACCTAAAACCCCGTTACAAAAATTATGAAAATGTCCGATAAACAATTTTGTCAATGAAATATTGGAGATTCAGTTAAAATCAAAATTCCAGATATGGATCGAGCACTCAGTGACCTTCAATGTGTTCTTGGCGTGACAATATCAAGTAATGATTTCATAACTTATCAATAAACTAATTTTATAAAAACTATAAATATTATAAAATATATTTCAGTGAATGATAACGTCTATGAAATCGGAACGACTGAAGGAAAACTCTAACAACTGTACAATAGAAACCAATTTACAATTCGTAAAGAAAAAATTGTACAGATTGATGATGTACCGAATTATTTAATTTTACTATGAGAAGTAGCCCATGCCATCTCTAATTTAAGAGGACAGGGTTAATATCCCTAATAATATAGACAGTAAGACATAATAACATATTATGATCAGTGTACTTGCTTTGTAAGAGTAGCTTTGTAAGACCAATAAATGCAAGTGTAAAAAAAGAGGCAACATGTATAATTCTAAATGTCATTCTAGCTTACTTTGGAAAAATAAATAAGAAATTATTCTTAAATGTAATAATATTAAATATAATATTAAATTATATCTTAATTATAGTTTAAACTTTGTTTTGAAATATTTATCTATAATATAAAAATGAATCGCAAAATGTGTTGGTAAGCGCATAACTCAACAACGCCTGGACCAATTTGGCCAAATCTTTTTTTCAAATGTTCGTTGAAGTTCAAGGATGGTTTTTACGGCGAGAAAAATTAGAATTATTGCTGGAAAAACCCTAAAAATAGCCCTTTTCTTTTTCTCATACAAATGATTTGTAACTAAAACGTAGTCAATTTGAGCTTTATTGCTATGGTATAAAGTTCATATTAAACTAGCTGGTTTACCTGGCTTCACCCAGGAGGTATTCAACTATTATATATAAAAAAAATGAGAATGAAAAAAATACTATTTTCTTATATTATACCTTTTTTATTTATATTGGCTTCGCAACTTCTTATCCAATTCTCATACAGTTTTTTTTAAATGAAAGAGGATATCACGGTAATAGGCATAAATAAAGTCCGATAATGTTAGTCAATAATTAGTTATCTATACATATAATCCAAATACCACTGACTCACTGATCGCTGTATCTCAAAAATTATTAACTACTCAACGTAAGTTTATCGATAAAAATAATCTCATCACAAAAACTGCCACATTACAAATCTTTTTGACAGGACGAAGTCAGTCGGGTCAGCTAGTAATATAATAAAATTAAATATCATTGTTTTAAAATATTTAAAATTTAATGAATATGCATATTACTAATAGTAATAATACAATTATAATAAATTGTTTGTAAAAATATTGTACAGTTATTTATTCTTATCCCAGATTCAAAATGCCCAGGCAGGACCAAATTGTCCAGGCAAAGTGTACATTTCCCGGTATCCTATGTTGCCTATAATATATTGTAATTAGTAATGATATGACACATATTAAATAACTATTTTAATTTATAAACATAATATGCACATGAATATATGTACGTAGTATGTGAAACAAAATTGATAAAAATTAAATATATTTTTTTTTTTTTTTAAATAGTTGTGCCAAAAAAGGAAAAAGTCGATTTAACCTATATCAATTTACAATGTATATAATTCTAGATAACGAAATGTAAGCATTATTACAATTAGTTGCTTTGGTTTCTACATTAAAATATGTTATTTAGATCTGCTGTAATAGAAGAAGAATATTGTTGGAAGTTCAATGTATAAGCTACAATATTTATTTAATATTGTCTTATTGTATCTAATACAAATATAATACTTATGGATGGAGTAATTATTATATTTAACGTAATTTCGCTAATAATATCGAGTTGAAAAATATCTTTATTTATTTAATTTTTATTTTTATAATTTATAGAGATAGCTAACGTATTCCGGGTAATAAAAATACATGTTTATAATATAAAGATATTTCGTAGTCTCCTCCCTTGGTGTTTTCCATTTCATCGAAGAACTATGTGGGAATTATGCCAATATAAAATGTTAAGAAAGTCTACTAAGAAACATGCGATCGATTAACTATATTCGTTTAAAAATATTAAAGAAAAAAATTTTGCATATTTAAAACGTTTAATAATCAGCACATTGTTTTTAAACCAATGACGTAACAATTCGGATTTACAAATACTTTAAAAAAAAATGTTAACGTGACACGCAGATTTCGGATTTTTTAAAATGTTTTCTTCAGTACTTTTCACAATCAAAGTTCGGAGTATCCTAGTCATCTTACCGTTTTGTAATAATCACAACTATTTTTATTCAACTGTCCGCGTTAACTTACCTTTTGCCGGGGAAAAAAAATTATATAACCAAAAATTGAAGTCAAATTAGCGTTTACTATACTGACAGTTTTATAATTAGGTCAAATTATTATTATTATTTTTTTTTTTTTTTTTTATAATGTCATAGAATTTTCAAAGTACACGTTTACAGATGAAAGACCATTTATATAATGTATTTTGTTGTCCGTTGGAATATAAACGTCATCTGAAATATCATTATAAATATTATTAAGATTATACATTTATAATATACTAATGACCTCCTCATTTAAATTTGCAGTTGTCTCAAAACCGGGCTAACTATTCATGAAGTAATAATTATTATTTCTTCACTCGTCTCTTCGAAGTAGTGAATTAGCCGTACCACATGTACATCATTTATGAAAACGTCATAATGTCATTCCAGTAGAACAATAATTGTTCGGAACAGCATGAATGTTGTGCGCATAATGGAAATTGAAATTTAATATTCATATTATAGTTGTAGAACACGAGAGAACATTAGACGTTGATATGACAAGACAAAAAAATATCAGATATGAGTTTCGATATTATATTATTATTCAAATAATAATAGGAATATGTTATAGAAGCCAAATTAATATAGTACTATACCTATTGTATTTCAAAATAGTATTTTATATAATGTTTTGCTAATTAATATTGTACATTTTAGGGCTGAGAATTTAAACCCATAAAAATGCCTTTAATAAATTATTTTATAATATATATTATACAATATGGGTAAATACTTCATAGTTTATTATATTTGTATAAATAACGGATAAGTGTGTTAAAATCAGTGTTGTGCTTTAGATAAATTTATCTAGATATGTTATCTAGATAATACCCAAAATCTGTAGCTAATCATTAGTAATAATTAATCTACAATTTTATCATTCAATATAAAATAAATAACTAAATAAGAAATTGAATTGGTATATTTATTTGCAAAAATTGGTTTTAAAATAGTTTTACACAGCATTTATTATTAATTATGAACAATGACAATTTATTATGTATATAGACATATATTACTTACATAATATGCATGGCAGGTAAGAATTATTTATAATTTCATAGTATGGCCCTTACGGAGAAGTCTCATGCCTGTACTATTATTGTTCTGTGATATTACGAACGTCGAAAGAGCATTTACAAGAATATTAGAACCAGAGATAACGCACCATAGGTCTAAACTGGTTATTATTGCAGCTGCGTGGTAGATGGTTTTTAAATACTAAAATATAGAAATAATTGTCGATAAGAAAATAGCAATTACAATACGCATTATGCTGTACCAACACAGAAATTGATCGTTATCCATCATCATTGGACCACCTTAAATTCAATATTTATTTAAAAATTATGTCCATTGTTCATGTAATTATGTGCTCTAAATAATTGTCATTACCGGACCCCAATTCTGTGAATTCATACTTTGATGTGTCTACATAATATTGTTGTACAACAAAATAAATATTAGGCGTGAAACGTCCGTTATTTATTAAAAACTTATACTGTACCCAGCTCACTCTCATCCAAAACGTGTTCAGTGTTTATCATTAGACCGTTTTCATATTTTTCATAATTTTGTCTATGACTTTCAATTTTATTTTATTGGTGAAATATTTTATGTTTTGTAATGGATCGTTACATAATACAATCATTACCCAAGACCAAAATAGTTCGCCTACAAATGAATGAAAACGTTGATGCGTTTATAAATATTATATATAAATATCTAGATAAAAATGATTTTATCTATTTGTATCTAGATAAAAGTGATTTAATTTATCTATATTTAAATAAATTCATTTTCTACCGTATCTATCTATATCTAAATATATTTTTTTTTTCATCTAAGCACAACACTGGTTAAAATTTTAAATGCTCTTAAATTTAAGAAAATAATTTTAAAATCTGAAGTTGAAAAAATCGGAAAAAAAAGTAAAATAAACGTTTGTGTTGTCAATCAAAAGTACTTAAAACGCATTTATGGTAGTAAGTTTTGGAAAACAATAAAAAAATATTGAAATTCTAGTTTATTAATAACATTGGATTTTTCATAGTGTAAATCGTGCATTTTACGTTGAAATGAACTAAATTTCTGAACATATTTACAAATTAAACGAAATGCATAACTATAAATAAATAAAAAGTAAGTACTAGAGTAGTATTAATATGGTGATGTGACTTAGACATATCGTCCCGTTTAGGATTTGTGGATCAATCGTGATAAGAAACATTTTTTTCTCTAAAAGAACAATGCTACTACAATCAACTCTTACTTACACACACACGAACACACCCACACCCACACACACACACACATGGTTTTATCTTGCAAAGCTACAGGAAACTGATACATGAGTGCTCCCGTTTGTGACAGTGTACGATGTCCTCCTTATCCGCTTTACTGAAACATCGATAACCACTTGGACGTCAAAACGTCGTGGTATATCGTGTCCAACACAAAAATGACGTCCAGCTCACTACTCACGAGCTCCCTTTGGAACATATATGCATCGGTAACGAAGTAGGGCAAAATCTTGACCAAACCCTTGGGGAACTTTTTGGCTTCTGATATAATACCACGTGGAAATATTTTCCTTTTTTATCCGAATAGTGCAGATCTAATGTTTTCGTGTAACCTGTGATGTCGCATTGAAGTGCTTTATGATTAAAAACTTATTTTTCCCATACACCTGTTTCGTATGTGAAATATAAAAGTGATAAATAAGGCAATAATAATAAGATAAGAAATATACTTATTTTTTTTTTTTTATTGTCAACTAGTAACTTTTAGAAAGACTTAAAATAATCTATACTACTATTATGCTGACGTTTGTGTTTTTTTTTTAAATTATTTTTCTTTTTCAATATTATCTATACTTTAACCTTTTACTCTTTTTAATCTTTTGTTATTCTAACTGTCATATTTACTATTTACAAATATTATTGCAATGTAGTACAAAAAGCTTTATAATAATATCTGCCTTGCCACAAGTAAAACTTAAAGGAGGCGTAAAAAATATATTTTATGTAAAATCTTTCAGTAATTTATCATGAAAATAAATAAATACAAATATAATTAATACATTCAGGTATTCATTTTAAATATCTCATTGTGCTTAAAACATGATATGAATATTAGGGTGTATGTAATTTATGCCAAAAATGACCGAAAAAAAGTTTATATAATTTGCACCACGTCCAAAAAGGTGTACATGTAATTTGTGCCACTCCTGATAACAAATAAAACTAGATATTTCATATGACACACAAATGTATGGTTCATAATTTAGTCATTGTATCTAGTATGTTAATTTTGTTTTCCATTTTATTTTATATTATCATCCAAGAAATTTATAATTATTTATAATATAATTAAAATTTTTAAATTTGTGATTTAATAATACAAATAATTCTTAATATTAGTTGAGAAAGAATTGTTTATGTACACGTATATATAAAAATTAATATATTTATGTTATAAAATATGTGTTAGCATATAAATCAATTTCTTATACTCGTAATATAATTTGGTCGTGTTGCCGTGAATTGCATTATGAGTAGATACGGCGAGGCGCAAAATAAATATGTAACATTAATTATATGTAGGTGGCGCACGAATTACATGTGTTATTGATGGCATAAACTACCATCGGCTGAATATTAAGCTGGAGTATGTTTAATAAAGACATACTACACTACATAATTCTGTTCGTATAATTCAAGTTATTCAAACGAAAAAAAAAAAATAATTATAGTGCAATACAATTGCTATTATTCGTGCAAACGGCACGTATACCATAATAATAATTTAAATACTGTCAATCAACCATTCCGTATTCATTCACGTTCTCCAATATTCAAATGGGACGAGATTAATATATGATAATATTTTAATTATAACCAACTGTTTTACTGCGCACCATAAGGTGAGAATAGTTCTATACGAGTAAGGGAAATAAGTTTGAGTGGAAAAGCACGTTGTGAGGAGATTTGTACATAAAGTGGAGATGAATTTACCGCTGTAACGTGCTTCTTCGACAATCGAATTATGTGTGCAAATAATTTCCCAACAAAACAAGAAACTAAACGTGTCAGTTTTACGTTTAAGTAAAAATATAAACATGAAATGCGTGTAATATTTATTTGTTACTACATTTTGGTGACTGGAAAATAAATATCAGTTTGGAAGAGAAAATATCAAATGATTCGTTAAAAGTTGCAAGTAAAACCCGCTTTATAATGAATAAAACAACAAAAGCAGTTGTTAAAAAAAATTATCAAAGAAACAATGCCATTCAGAGTTGAA